ACTTTTAAATTAACCAATTTCTGTTAATCTGTGTATTGCCACATGGCCCATGGTTTTATCGGTCTTCTGGCATCTTGCTTCTTGGTTGGCTTGCTTGCATTTCTCCTGACTCCACCCTTCTTTATCCCAATCCTCAGTTTGATTGTCTGGCCTAACATTATCCTGCCTTGCTATAGGCCAAACAGCTTTATTATTAACCAATGAGATTAATACATATTCACAGCATACAGAAGGATCATCCCACAGCGGAGAAGCTATCAGAAGATGGAAAGATCTCCCATGCCCATGGATTAATAGAATTAACATAGTAAAAATGGGCATCTTACCAAAAAAATATATAGATTCAATGCAATCCCCATCAAAATTCCAACACAATTCTTTACACACCTTGAAAGAACAATACTCAGCTTCATATGGAAAAACGAAAAACCCAAGATAGCTTAAAAAAAAAACTGTACAATAAAAGAACTTCTGCAGGTATCACCATCCTGATTGCAAGCTGTACTACAGAGCAATAGTAATAAAAACTTCATGGTATTGGCATAAAAACAGACAGGTTGATCAATAGAAGTGAATCTAAGAGCCAGAATAAATCCACACACCTGTGGACACTTGATTTTTGACAGAGAAATCAAAATTATACAATGAAAAAAAAGAAAGCATCTTCAACAAATGGTGCTGGTATAACTGGATGTCAGCATGTAGAAGAATGCAAATAAATCCATATCTATCACCCTGCACAAATCTCAAGTCCCAAGTGGATCAAAAACCTCAACATAAATCCAGATACACTGACCCTGATAGAAGAGAAAGTGGGGAATAGCCTTGAATGCATTGGCACAGGAAACAACTTCCTGAACAGAACACCAATTACATAGGCACTAAGATTGATAATTAATAAATGGGACCTCATGAAACTGAAAAGATTCTGTAAGGCATAGGACACTGTCACAAAAACAAATCCTCAGCCTGCAGAATAGGAAAAGATCTTCACCAACCCCACATCTGACAAAGGGGTGATATTCAAAATATATATTAAAAAAACTCAAGAAACTAGATATCAACAAACCAATTAATCCAATTAAAAATGGGGTACAGATCTAAACAGAGAATTCTCAACAGAGGAATCCCAAATGGCTAAGAAGCACTTAAAGAAATGTTCAACATCCTCAGCCATCAGAGAAATGCAAATCAAAATAACTCTGAGATTCCATCATACACCTGTCAGAAAGGCTAAGATCAAAAACACAAGTTTTCATGTTAGAAAGGATGTGGATGAAGATGAGCACTCCTCCACTGATGGTGGGAGTGCAAACTTGTACAGCTAATTTGGAAATCAATATGGTGGTTTCTCAGAAAATTGGCAATCCATTTACCCCAAGACCCAGCCATACCACTCATGGGCATAATCACAGAGGACAATCCACTATACCACAAGGACACTTGCTCAACTATGTTCATAGCTGCTTTACTCATGGTAGCCAGAAACTGGAAACAATTTAGATACCCCTCAACAAAGGAATGGAAAAAGAAAATGTGGTAATTTACACAATGGAGTATTACTCATCTGTTAAAAATAATGACATCAAGAATATTTCTGGTAAATGGGTGAAACCAGAAAAGATCATCCTGAGTGAGATAAATCAGACCCAGAAAGACAAACATGGTATGTATTCACTTATAAGTGTATATTTGCTGTAAAGTAAAAGAGGACCATGCTACAATCCACAGACCCAAAGAACCTAAGTAACAAGGAAGGGACAAGGGGGACACATGAATCTCCCTGTGAAGGGGAAATAGAATAGACATTACAAGTGGATGGGAGGGGGATATGGATTGGGGGCGAGGATGGGAACAGGAGGGATCAGGTTTGTTAAGAATGGAGGGAGAGAGTTCTGGGAGATACAACTGGAATCAGGGGGTATCTCTGGGAAGAACAAGAAACCTAGTACAACAGAAACTCCCAGAAATCTATGAGGGTGACCCTAGCTAAGACTCCTGGCAAAGGGGAATACAGAGCCTGGACTGCATCTCCTATAACCAAGCAAGACTTCCAGTAGAGGGATTTGGACACCAACCCAGCCACAAAACCTTCAACCTATAATTTGTCCTGCCTACAAAATGTTTTGGGGTAAAAGTGGTGCGTGGATTGTGGGAATAGCCAGCCAATGACCAGCCAAGCTTGAGACTCATACCGTGAGGGGAAACTCACTCCTGACAATGCCTAGAATGCCAGGACCCAGAGGTGGGTTAGCTCAGAGACCTAGGACAGAACCAAACACAACTGACAAAAAGAAATTCAATGAAATTATTCCTAATGATGTTCTGCTATTGTTGCCTATCCCGATTGTCATCAGGCTTCACCCAGCAACTGATGGAAACAGATGCAGAGAGACCCACAGCCAAACCTTAGGTGGAGCTCAGGGAATCCTGTGGAAGAGGGGCATGATGGATTGTAGGAGCCAGAGGGGTCAAGGACACCATAAGAATATGACCTACAGAATCAACTAACCAGGGCTCATAGGGGCTCACGGAGACTGAACCGAGACTCAGGGAGCCTGCATGGGACTGATCTAGGCCCTCTGCATCGATGTGACAGTTGGGTAGCTTGGTCCTCTTGTGGGACTCCTAACAGTGGTAGGGGCTGTCTCTAACTCTGTTGCCTTTTTTGGGACCCATTCCTCCTACTGTGTTGCCTCATTCAGCCTTAATAGGAGAGGAGGTGCCTAGTCTCACTGCAACTTGATATCTCATGGCTGGCTGATATCCATGGGGGGCCTGCCCTTTTCTGAAGAGAAAGAGAGGAGGAAGAGAGGATTGGGGCAAAGGGGGAGAGGGGAAGTGGTGGGGAGGGACTAGGTTAGGGATGTAAAAACAAAACAAACAAACAAACAAACAATGTTCGTGTTAGTAAGGAGTAACACGCAAGTGGGAAATGACTTAGGTTCCCCAAAAGTAGAGCAGGCATAAAAACTTGGATTATATTATGCAGTATTATACCAGAGCCGTGGACTTCCATTAGATGAGACGGCATGGATGGATCTTACAGCTGTAAGGTGAAGTTCAGAAGCCCAGGGCTATTCATTTTGTTTAGTACAGTTACATGAAGTCTGTATGAGGAAAGTCTTATTCAGGATGATAGCAGTTAGTGTGACCATACTGCATGAAAGAAGACAGACTAACTCTGTGTCTTTTACTCTGAATTATTTGAAAGGAAGAGTTCTAATCTCTTGTTTAATCCAGAAAAGCCTCATATAAAAGAGCCTAATTTAAGACATGGGGGTTAAGTTTGTAGTCCTGAGCAGAGGCTGCCCTCTTTCTGTTTTTATTATCTTAAAAATATTTATTTATAATTTGTGAGATTATAATGTAATTAAACCATTTTCTCATTCTTTTTCCCACCTCCAAAATTGCCCTTAAGTGCCATCTTGTTCTCTTTCAAATTCATGGCCTCTTTCTTCAGTAATTGTTGTTACGTTGTTACATGTATATATGAATATACATATTCATATATATGTATTCTTAAATACATAAATGCAGCCTGTTCAATCTGTACAATAAAGGACACAGTAAATAAGGCAAAATAATAGCATATGGAATGGACAAAGATCTTCACCAACCCCACATCAGACATAGGGCTGATCTCCAAATATATAAAGGACTCAAGAAACTAGACATCAAAATGCCAAACAATCCAATTAAAAAATAGGTTACAGAGCTAAACAGAGAATTATCAGCAGAAGAATCCCAAATGGTCGAAAGACATTTAGGGAATTGCTCAACATCCTTAGTCATCAGGGAAATGCAAAACAAAATTACTCTGAGATACCATCTTACACCTGTCAGGATGGCTAAGATCAAAAACACTGATGACAGCTTATGTTGGAGAGAATATGGAACAAGGGGAACACTCATACACTGTTGGTGGGAGTGCAAACTTGTACAGCCACATTGGAAATCAGTATGGCTGTTTCTCAGAAAATTGGGAATCAGTCTACCTCAAGACCCAATGATACCACTTGTGGGTATATACCCAAGGGATCCTCAAGCATACCACAAGGACACTTGCTGAACTATGTTCATAGCAGCATTATTCATAATAGCCAGAACCTGGAAACAACCTAGATGCCCCTCAGCCAAAGAATGGATAAAGAAAACGTGGTACATATACACAATGGAGTATTACTCAGCTGTAAAAAACAATGACTTCTTTCTGTTTTTTGTCAGGGTCTTGCTAAATTGTCTAAGAAGCCCTCAAACTTGGAATCCCCGTGCTTCAGCTTGCAGAGTAGCTGGGATTACAGGGCTGTGCCACTATATTCTTCATGCACTGTTATCTAACCTATATTACAAAACCTTGAATATCTTTGTGGTAATTTTTAAGTTCTTGTCTGCTTATCACATTAAGTATTTTCTTAGGTACCTGATATATATATTTTCTTAGGTACCTGTAAATATAATTAACATCATTTTTCCTAGATTATGAATCTCATTTTTCCTCCTTGGGTTGTTCTGTATTGCTTTCCTGTTGAACATTATGTAACAATCATTGTGGAAAGCAGCTGAGATTTAATTGTTTTTAGTTTTGGAGAGCACAGGTCTTTTTCTCTGTTTGGCTTTTAGAGTAAAAGGCTATCTGTAACCCTCTTAGAGTGAAAGGCTGGTCTAGAATCTTCTTTGAGTTGAATTGAGCTTTAGGATTAGCTGTAACTTTAGTTGGACTGAGTTTATTTGGTATTAACTAAACCTCCAACCTTTTCTAATTACTACTTATATTTTCTTGATATTTGAGCTAGGAGAAGTTTGGAATGACATTTAATTTTTTTCAATTCTGCTCAGTCTCTGAAATTCAAACCTGTAAGAATATATCAATCTATACAGCTTTCCCCGTGTATGCTGTTCCTCCACTGTGACTTTGTTAACAACATTCATAAGTGAGGCTTGAAAATGACACAGAGGGGTTGTTTATGTCATCTACTTTTGCATTTGGTGTCTTTCAGTTTGTTCCCTGAACTCAGACTGACACCTAAGACCCAACTGATCTCTTCATCTCCGTATTTATTCCACCATGGCAGGCCAAGGGAAGGTTCAGTGGATGCCGAAGCTTGTCTTTCAGGTAAGGAAGCTCTTGTGGATTTGTGCTTATTTATAGAGAGTATGTTCTGTCTAGATTTCAGGCCATCAGCAGGACTGGCTTCCCCGGCTTCCCCTGCTGTTGAAGTGATCTTGTGCTGAGAAGAGCCCTGCAGGTAGCTTAGTGCTTTGGTCAGTTTGGAAGAAAGCATTATAGCCTTGACCCAACATAGTTATCAGTATCTGCTGGCTTTCATTAACACCTAGAAAATAATGCTTTTCACATGACCCGTTTTTTCTCATTAGTTCCACGGAGCAGCACTCTGCTTCTATGAAAGTAGTTGTTCATTTACCTTCTCATTCCTTACCTCCTTGCCATGTTATTCTAGACATTTCATATTGAAGTTGGCTAAAAGTTTCCTATGCAAATTTACCTCCTTTGATTCATTTTTTTGTATTTCCCATCAAGTAAAATGTGATATTATTTTAAGTTTATACTTGGAATAATTTGATAACCATTAAAATAAAATAAAACATTTAAATTTATTTCATTTATTTTATTTCTAAGACTTTTGTTTACTCTGTCCCTCATAAATCTTTCTCAATCTTCTTAGCCCCAGAGCTCCATGTTTTCTTACTTGCCTTCATTTATTCTGTTATTTTATATACTCTTTTTACCTACATTATTTATTTTACTATCATTTGTTAAATGCATGTTTAATGATATTCATATATTTAAATAATATTAAGAGTGTGAAATATTCCATTTAACTCCAAATGTGTAATTAGTTTTTACAAAGAACAGCCCTGTGATTTTATAAACTGGACCATTTAATAGGAAAATGTACAATAAGTGTTTTAGTAAATTAAAATGTGATTTCATTCTTTTCAGCCATGTCGTTATATTTATTAATGAATTACACTTCTGGACTTTTCTTTCTCTTTTTCTCTCTGGCTTCTCCACACTGTATTTTCATTCTCCAGACATGTTAGCATTTTTTCAAATATCTAGATACTTCTCCCATTTATCTGCTCACCTATTGATCAAGTGATGCATACAGCAAGTACTTAGAGACTTTGTGACAGCCACTGTATACAGTGAATGTGATTCAGCTATGATGTACATAGTCTCTATTTCTCTAGAGACATGACTCTCTCTACTCAATGTTACCCTGAAGAAATTTTGTGAGGTTCAGAGAGTGAAGTCTTCTTGGGGAAAAAAGTGACTTTCTGTTTTTGTCTTTGTGTGATATTTTGTTTTAAAACAGGTGTTTCTGGGTAGTTAGACTGATCTTGAATTTTTAAACTTTCAATTAAATGTGACTTTTAATTTGATATTTTAATTGAGAGCTAAATAGGCCCAGAAGGGCTTGAAAAGAGAGTTTTAGGCAGAAGGCTATCTAAGCAGAAGAAAGAATATGTACAAAGTCTCAAAGATAAGGACTCAGGTTTCATCTTGATAAAATTAGTCTATTGTTGAGTATATTTTCAATGCACAGAGAAACTACTACATAATAAAAATGGAATTATGAATTGTTAGCCTGAAGCTCCCATGGGGTACTCATAATTTTCTGTGGCTTTCTTGTCAACAGAGGAATATTTATTATATTTCTGGCTCTGGGTTTATTATGGATACAGTCCATAATACCTCAAAATATCTTGGAACTCTTGTTGGAATTTGAAATGAGAGCATTCACCAAGATTCACATAGGGATTTCTTGTTGAGGCAGCATTTAAACACTTATCTCTGTCTCTTTTCAAAGTACCTGGACTTTACAATGTACACAAAAGAATGTTTTATAATATCTTACAACACTAAAAGTTCTAACTTAAGTACTATATTTGCCTAAGTAGGTCATATATATTAAGTACAATATAGAATTAATGTCATTGACTGATTTTGCTTCATTAGAAAAACCAAGAGCCTCCAAAGAGCTTTGAAGAATTCTTAAAGTCTCAAAACTGGGTGAGTAGAGCATCCTATCCTCATTTCTCTGCCAATACACTTTTTTTTTTAAAAAATATCAGCTATGGAAAGAAGAATGGAAATTAAATAATGGGAATGTTTGCACATGTTTGTTTCCTTTCAGTATGTCATTTCCAGTTGCTTTTAACAATAATGTTTTCACATTTAAAAACTGTTAACCCTATACATACAATTCGGTGGTATACTTTCTTAAGATTTTTGTCTTATGTATTTATACCTTCAAGAAAATCTGACAATTACCCTTATTTAGCCACTCATCACAACTAATTCTCACAGATAGTTTGCAGAAAACTTACATCAATATTCCTTGATTATTAAATCAAAGTGAAATACTCAAAATATGTTTTCATATCATTATGTATAACTATGGAGTATTGCTGGAGTTCCTGAGATTACTAAGGAGTTTTCTCTGAGCATCAGCTGAGTTCACTCATTTGCAAATGTGAAGCTAGGATTTGTTACACTTTGAGGTATGTCAGATAAAGGTTGGAATAAAGATGTCAGTTTAAAAGATAGGTGACTTTTTAATGATGTCTGTAGAAATTTAATAAATTGAAGTTTATTTATTTCCACCTATGAAAAATATGAATAGAATTTGCTATGAAATTATTGGCAATGAAATTTCATGTGCATGTATGTGTTTATACGAGTGCTTTTGTCCCAATGTTTTGAGAAAGAATCTCATTTAAAAGCAAAATAAATAAAACTGATTTCTAAAAGTTTATTTCTTTTTTATTTTTTTACATTGAAAACAATTTTCATACAAAATTATCTGATCAAGGTTCCCACTTCCCCCAGCTCCTGCCAGTCCTTTTCCATCTCCCCATCCACTCAACTCCACACCTTCTCCTTCTCTTTCTCTTTAGCAAGTGAACAAGCAAGCAAACAAGCAAAAACAAAATAAAACAAAACCAAAACAAAACAGAATTCACAAAGAGTGTGTGTGTGCGTGTGTGTGTGTGTGTGTGTGTGTGCGCACACACACACACACACACCCCCCTCATAAAAAACAAACTAACAAACTATAATATACAAGTAAAATAGCAGTAAGACAAAAAAATGCCCAACAAAGCAATTTAAGTAAAAAAATACAAAAATATCATTGAGTCATTTTGTGTTATCTATTTACTACTAGGCATGAGGCCTACATTTAAGTGTAGTTAATGAGACTCCATAGGCCAGTGAGACTCCATAGGAGAAAACTAATGTTTCCTTTACAAGAGTGTGTCAATTGCAGATAGCTTCTTGGGTAGGGGTGGTAACCTGTGTCCACTTCCTCTCTCAGCATTGAGATCCAGTTTGGCTTGAACTAGTACAGGCCCTGTGCTTGCTGCCACAGTCTCTGTGAGGTCATATATGCATCGGTTCTGTTGTATCTGGAAAACACTATTTCTTTGAAATCATCCATCCCCTCTCGCTGGTATAATCTTTCCACCTCCTCTTCTGCATAGATCCCTGAGCCTTGAAGGGAGGAGCTTGATGAAGACATCCCATTTAGGACTTAGTGTTCTAAAATATCTCTCTGCATGTTGTCCAATTGTGGGTCACTGTGTTAGTTTCCATCTACTGCAAGATGAAGTTGTTGATGATGGCTATGTGAGGCACTAGTCTATGGATACAGCAGCATGTCTAGGAGTCATTTCATTCCTATTTTCCTTTAGCAGAACAGTAGTATTTGGTTTTCCCCTAGGCCCATGACTTACCCAGTCTGAAGTTTATAGTCACCCAAGGAACAGTGTCAGGCATGGGTGGCTCCTGGGGTGGGACTTAAGTCTGATCAGACAGTGGTTGGTCACTCCCACAACATTTGTGCCCCTATTGTACCAGCATATCTTGTAGGCAGGTCACTGTTGTAGATTGCATGGTTTATGGCTGGGTTGATGGTTACCTTTCTCCTCTGGTAGAGTGCAGAAGAATATCTTCAAGTACCATGAACACTAGTCAGCAGGGGTAAAAGCTCTAATTAGACACTAGCTTGACTTCTCCCTGTTCGATGAGATTTGTAAGTGTTGTCTTTAGCAATAGTACTTTACCATCAGTTTATGAAGAGTAACCAATAGCCATGGGAATAGCCTGAGATGTTTGGGGCCCCTTTGGCTAAAGACTCAACTAGATATAACCCATTCCTGGGACTGGAGGTTTCACATGGTGATGAGTGATGTCCAGTTGGGACATTGTCTCCCTCATTACTTAGTGACTCCATTTATATTTCTTTCATATAAGTATATATTTTAAGTAGCTTCTATGGTAGTAGTTTCTATATGACCCCCTCAAATGCCCTTTAGTGTTTTTTTGTCCCTCCCCATGTTCCCTCACTTACCACTATCATCCACGCCCTCCCATTAATTCTCCTACTCCAGTCTCCCCCTTGTCTCTCCATAACTATTTATTCTACTTCCCCTTCTTTGGGGCATCCTCCTTTCCATGCTGGTCCCTTACTTGAAACCTAACCTCTGAGGTTGTATAGATTGTAGCATACCTATAGAAGGCTTAAATGCTAACATCCATATATCAGAAAAGGCAATATTTGTCTTTGGTGTCTGGTTACCTCACTCAGGATGTTTTCTCTCTTCATCCATTACCTGCAAATTTTATACTTTTTTGTTTAATAGCTGAATTCTATTTTATTGTGTATATGTACCATATTTTCATTATCTATCTATTGGAGGACATTTAGGTTGTTTCCATGTCCTAGCTATTGTTAATGGAATGACAATAATCATGGTTAAGCAACTATCTATGGAGTATAATGTAATGCCCTTTGGGTGTATGCCAAGAAGTGGTACAGCTAGATCACATGTTAGATCTACTTTTAGCTTTTTGAGAATTCCATATACTGATTTCCAAAGTGGATGCACAAGTTTGCACTCCTAACAGTGAATGAGGGTCCCTCTCTCCCAGAATCCTTGGAGGCACTTATTAGTTGTTTTCTTTATCCTAGCAGTTCTGGCTGGGGTAAGATGAAACTTTAGTTTGCATTTATCTAATTACCAAGGATGTTGAAGACTTTTAAAGATATTTCTTAGCTCACCCCCTTCCCTTGTCTCTCTCTTTTTCTTGAGAGCTTTGTGTTTGAATGCACAGCCTATTTCTGATTGGGTCATTTGTTTCCTTGACTGTTTTTTCGAGTTCTTTGTATATTCTGGATATTAATTCTCTATCAAATTTATAGCTGGAAAAGATTCTCCTCGACTTTATGTGTTTCTTCTTCACTCCAATTGTTTTTTACTCTGCAGTAAAGGAACTTAGTTATTTTATTACTTCCTTTATTTTTTGAGATTATAATATATTACACCATGTGTATCTTCTCTTTTCTCCCTCCAAACTATCCCACATATCTCTCCTTATTCTCTGTTTTTATTAATTGTTGTTTTATATATTTATATGTGTGTATGTGTGTGTATTAATTCTAAATATAATTTGCTCAGTCTGTATGTTACTTGTATGTGTGTCTTCAGGATGACCATTTGGTGTTGGACAACTGATTGCTATTCTTTTCCCTGGGGAAGACTATTACACTCTAAGCATTCTTTAGATGCCCATAGTTCTTTGGTTGGGTTGAGGAATCATGAGCTTTTGCCCTGTTCACTTTAGCATGTTTATTGTTGTCCTTGTTAGGCTTATGTCTGGTGTGACTATGGGCGTAGCTTCTGACATCCTTAGCAGACACAATCTTACTGCATACTCCATAATCTCTGGCTCTTACCATCTTTTCACCCCCTCTTCTTCATTTTTCCATGAACCTGAGGTGACAGAGCTATTTTGGAGATCTATTTATTGGGAAGAGGCTTTACAACTGTGTGTTTTGATTGGCTGTGATTTTCTGTAATGATCTCTATCTGTTACAAAGAGAAGTTTCCTTGATGATGAGTGAGGACTACACTTATTTGTGGGTATAAGGAATAACATTTAGAATGTAGTTAGGGATTATGCTGATTTAATAAAGTAGAGGATGTATGTTCTCCTCCAAGATCTATGACTTTACTAGCCCTGGGTAGATAGCTAGTTTTCCAGTACCAGGCATGGTTTTTTTCTTGTTAGGCAGGTCTTAAATTGGATTAGAGAGCTGTTGAATACCACCAACATATGTGTGCCATGCTGGTTATTGTGGTCATTCATAGCATCATAGCTCAATAAGTCTGTTGATTACTTCTCTCCTTTGGAATCCTGCATGGTGCCTTCTGTTCCCATGAAAACTTCTCAGAGAGAAGGCTTTTAGGTGAGTTATACCTCGGAGGCCTCTGGGTCATACCTCTGAAGTGCATGCTGTCTTCAGCAATAGGGACTTACCTTCCATCTCTGAAGGACGACCAAGGGCAGAAGCAATAGGTTATATGTTTTGGGAGACTCTTCAACAGCCCTGGCCAACAACTCAAAAGATGGCTCCTCATGGCTGATGTTGGTGTTTTGGTAGATGGTCTTTGGCTCTTTGGTCTTTTTTCTCATCTGAGCTTTGTCAGCTCAGATGAGAAAATTTCATTTGAAGTATACAGTTTATATACATGTGTTGTAGAGTTATTTTTAGGTAGATAATCAATAGTATGATTCATTATGACTGTTTTAGACATCCACAAACCATGCAAGACATTTGCAATAATGTATATAAACCGAGAAAAATTCTAAATGAAATAAACCAGACCCAGAAAGACCATTGCTACATTTTCTACTCACACAAGGAATCTAAAACAGTGTAACTCAGTAGCAGAGAATAGCCTAATGGTTGCCAGGGACTTATAGGAATAAGAGTAGAAATGCATTGAAAGATATAAAAGTTTCTATTATATTATGTGAATATGTTCTAGAGATCTAGTAGACAGTATGGTGACTCTAGTTAATACATATTTTAGATTTGCTAAGACAATAGTTATTAAATTTCTCACCATAAAAAAACAAGCAAAACCTATGCAAAGCAATGAGTATGTTCTTAGCTTTGCACTTAGCTAGGCATCTCATAGTTTATCCAGATATTAAAAGAGCATGTTATTTATCATAAATATGTATAATTTTGTTTATTGCATGTCAGTAAGGCTAGAAGAAATAGGAGGAAAAACCAGCTGTTGGGCCCCCTAATTCTTTCTCTTTCTTTCCTGACAAATATTGAGGGGTTGCTTTAAACTTAAATGGACTAATGCTAAAATAATGCAATCCTAAATATTTATGATTCTAAATTTATTTTTTTTTCGTGAAAGGCATCACTAGATCAACTGATGAAATTTCAACAGTTTAATTTAGATAGGTAGAATGCATTAAAACTGTTTTTGATTCTTATAATTCTTATTTTCAAGAAGAATGCACTCATTTGTTCAGATACTAAAGAATTATGGACCATGAAAGTAGCTACTTACACTCAAATGCTTCCCCAAAACCATGTTTTCAGAAAGCTTTTGAAACTTTGCAACTTTTGTGAGGTTTTAATTATTTTGAAATTTATTTTTAAAACATTTAATAAAAATAATGTTTTATAGTAAAATTCCAATTTTAACTCATTAAATCCTGATATAAATTTATTCAAATGATGTAAAATGTTTGCTTATGCAGGATTATTGGCCCAGGGATATTCATTTTAGAGACAGTGATATATGGGATGATGCTCTGAAAAAACTAGAAGAGGATACTTCATTTGCTTCAATTTATTCTTATCTGTGGACCAATGTTCCTCGAATATTTGAAGCTGTCAGCACCATGGAGACAAGATTAAAAGACAGTTCATATCTTTTGAAACAGCATTCCTCCAATTTACTTGATTGTAACAGAATGATTTCCAAGAAAAGTAAGATTTATTTTATTTTTTATGTGAATAAAGTAATGTTCAGGGGTGTGTGTGTGTGTGTGTGTACATGTCTGTCTGTCTGTATATGCTGCTTCTATGTGTATTCTCATAAGGAATGAAATTCCAAAGTTTAAATATCTTAAAACTACATGTTTAAAAATCTCATCATCCAGTAGGACCTAATAAATAGTTTTAGGTCGACTTGAGGATGTGGTTTGAAAGAAAGGATTACTGGAGCAAGCCTAAGACAGTTATGAACTTTGTTAAACTGGAATAGAGGTAACGAAACCTCAGGGATTCAGGGAAACAAGATGTGCCAACTGATGCTTTAAGAAGCAAGCCTCCATCAATAGTAAATGTAGAAATCAAAGTAATAGAGTGGGAGCTGATCCACAGGGTTGAGGCTAGCCTGTAGGTACATATAGTATTTGCTGTAGAAGAAATTAATTGCTGAGATATATTTCCTTGAGCAATGATAATTTTTCATCCTTGGTATTTGTATAACTTTTTCCTATCTAATTGTATTGATAAGTACTTCCAGAATAATTTTTAAATAATAATAGCAGCTGTTGTCTTATTCTTCAAATTTTTAAAAATCAGTATACAAGATATTAGATATCATTATGGCATTTCAGGCAAAGTGTATTTTATTAGATTCATGTCCCTTTTTCTCTTCTCCACCCCCTTAATTCTAATGTCCATGTGGCCTCTTTCCAAGTCACGTTTATACTTTAATTTCACATATGTCTCTTTGCTCCTCACCCCTGTCAGCACTAATTTTTACCCTTTCTTATTTCCTATCCAATTTTCAAGAGTTGACCACACACATTTGTATGTGTATATGTACATTACAGGCTGTGTACATTATGTATATTGCATGAAAGAGTACATACCTGGTTTATCTCTCTGAGTTTGCATCACTTCACTTAATATACTCCCAATTTCATCCACTTTCTAAAATTTTCATAATTTTACTTTTTTCATTGCTGAATAAAATTGTATTGTATGTATGCAACATTTTCATTATCCATTCATCCGATGGACATATAGGCTAGTTCCATTCATCTGATGAACATCTAGGCAGGTTCCATTCATCTGATGAACATCTAGGCAGGTTCCAGTCATCTGATGGACATCTAGGCTAGTTCCATTTATTTGATGAACATCTAGGCAGGTTCCATTCATCTGATGAACATCTAGGCAGGTTCCATTCATCTGATGAACATCTAGGCAGATTCCATTCATCTGATGAACATCTAGGCTGGTTCCATTCATCTGATGAACATCTAGGCTGGTTCCAGTCATCTGATGGACATTTAGGCTGTTTCCATTCACCTGATGGATATCTAGGCTGGTTCCATCTCCTTGTTGTTGCGGAAAGAGCAGCAGTGAACATGGATGACCATGTGTCTCTGTGGTAGAATGTGGAGACTTTTGAGTGTTTATATGTATGTCAGCAGTTATATATTTGTAGCATATGATAGTTCTGTTTGTAATTCTTTGAGAAACTTCCATCTGATTTCCATATGGCTGCTCTAGTTTATACTCCCTCCAGCAATGAACAAGGGTTCCCTTTTCTCCACATCATCAATAGCATTTATTGTCAGATTTCTTGATGTTCTTCATTCTGATTTGGGTAAGTGGAATGTAAACGTATTTTCAATTTGTATTTCCCTGATGGCTAGGGATATTGAACACTTTTTAGAATATGTGTTGGCAATTACACTTCTGTCTGTTCATTTACTTAGCTTGTTTCTTGATATGTTTCAGAGCTTGAGGAGGATAATTTCTTTTATAGGTTCTTGATATTAGTGCCTGAGGCAAATATCTTGTTTTATAATATTGAGATTTTTCTTTATCTGTGAGGAGAGATCTTGATATTTTGCTTGTGATTGCTATTGCTTTGGCAAGGTGACCATTTTCACAATATTGAATATTCTGATCCATGAGCATGGAAGGTCTTCCAGTCTGCTGGTGTCCCCTCAATTTCTTTATTCAATGTCATACAGGTTTTATTGTAGAGGTCCTTCATTTCCTTGATTAGGTTTATTCCCAGATATATTCTCTCTCTCTCTCCCTCTCTGTCTCTCCCTCCTTTCCTCGCTTCCTCCCTCCCCCCACTCTGTGTGTGTGTGTGTGTGTGTGTGTGTGTGTGTGTGTGTGTGTGTGTGTGTGTGTGTGTGTGTGTGTGTGTGTGTGGTGAATGAGACTGACTCCTTTATATCATTTTCAATACACCTTCTATTTTGTATCCTGCTTCTTTGCTGAAAGTATTTATCTAGTCTGCAAGTTTTTTGATAAACTCTTTAGGTCTCTTGTGTGTAAAATCATATAATTTGTAAATAAGGATTTCTTTATTTCTTTTTCTATTCTGATTCCTCATTTTTGTGTCTGGCTGCATTGCTCTAGGTAACACTTCAAGCACTATATTGAACAGAGAGAGTGGAAACACTTGCCTTGTTCCTGGTTTTAATGGGACTGACTTGAGTTTTTCTCCATTTATCATTAGCTTTCCTTTTAGGACTTCCTTCGTTGTGTCCCTTAGGTATTGGCAAGTTGTGTTTTCAGTTTCATTCACATCTAGGATTTTTCCCCTTACTGATGTCTTTCTTGTCTAATTACAGTTCAGTAGTATTGTGGTTCCTTGAGTTTATGTACTTTCTCTGGGTTCCATTGCTGTTGATATCTGCCTTTGTTCCAGTATGGTTATATAAATGAAGGATGTTATTTAACTTTCCAGTATTTGTTTTGACTTGCTTTATGTCTTATTTTGTGATCAGTTTTGGAGAAAGTTTATGGGCTAATGAGGAGAATGAGCATTCGCTCATGTTTGGTTGAAATGTTCTGTAGATGTCTGTTATTTGCCGTGTTGTTTAACTCGTGTTTCTCAGTTTAGTTTTTGCTGATGAGGCTTTCCACTGACATTTTTATTTGGCTTATTAGGTTTCTCACTTTTGATTTTTCAAATTCAAGAATGTGTTTAAGTCTGTATTAAATTCATAATTTTAAAATTTCATGTTGAATTTTTAAATTTTAAATTTTTCATTAATTTATCTAATTATTAATTCATCTAATTAATATGTTTTTATTTATATGTTTTATATATGCATATATAAACTATATGTAGCTTGTATACATATATACATATACTATTTTGTAGAGAAAATATCTATGAGTAAGCAGAGAAAAATATGAAAAATCTCCTTTCATGTCTTCCTCCTTTAAAAACAATATATGAATTGTTTTCAATATATGAATATCGGAAGTAGTTTACAGTCTTACATTGTATAAATTACTGTGCACATAATTTCACTGGGCCATGCACCATGGTACTGCATTTTATTGAATTTAAGGTAATCTTGAAACTGTCAAATCTACGTAGCTGAGTGATTAGAAAAATGTGGCTTTTTTGTTAGATATCGGTTGAGGTAAAATGTTAGAAGCCAAAGTACCATAGACATGTTAGGTAGGGCTTGATGTTTTGGAAATACAAAAGGAAACAAGATAAACAATAGTTCCATTATTTATTAAGAGTGTGTGGCTTGTCAAAATTTTAATTGATTTCATTGAATAGTTTTATATTTAAATCATCTAGAATTTTCTTGTTTTTGATTTTTTTCATTGTTGTCAATTCCCTTTTCTTAAAGGTTCATATATGAATCTGGAAAAATACAAGGCATTCTTAAAGGAACACAGTAGGCAGAGAAAGATAATGGTATGATATTTGTGTTTACCATCCCTCAAAAATGTATTTTCATAGGAAATGTAAATACTGTCACTCTACAGATAAGAACTGATAATGCTTTAAAAATGTCCTTTTAGTCTTTGTTAAGCAACATTTCTGTCTTGAAGATCTAGGGACTTATTTTTTGACACTCAGTGTTAGAGCCCTGAAATCATCACATTGTAAGTTATTTGAGATTGATTTTAATATATATTATATAACATATGTAAAATATATATATATGTATGTATGTATATATGTAGACTCCAGTTTTCCTCTCCCACAGTCACTCTCAAATAAACACACAGAGACTTATGTTAATTATAAGTGTTCGGCAGATAGCTCAGGCTTTTTATTAGCAAACTCTTGCATTAAAATTAACCCATATTTCTATATATACTTTGCCACATGGCTCATGGATTGTTACCTCATTTTTTACACAGTCTGCTTTCTCCATGGCAGGCTGGTTTCTCTGGACACTCTCCTGACACTGCTCACCCCCCATCATTCTCTCTGTCAGGCTGTCTCGCCCAATCTCTTCTTGCCCTGCTATTGACCAATCATTTTTTATTAACAATGAGCATAATCCATAGCATGTATATATATACATATATGTATATGTATGTATCTATCTTCCTTTGGTTATTTAATAAGTGATTGTGTGAACCAAAACTTTATTAATTATATTAATTATTGTTAAATATAAATACTTTAGGGGCTTATTTATCAGGATTTTAATGTAAAAATCCTTTAAATTAGAATTTTAAATACTTTGTTTTGAATTTTTCCAGCTTTCAGATGAAATGGAGACAGAGAAGAATATAGAGGTATTTCAATTTTCTATACTGTCAGATTATATATCAGGTATATTATGTAGAGTCAAAAGAATGCTTATAATGCTATAGATGTAGATATAACTATAAATTTGTGCTCTAAGAAGGACAATTGAGAACAGGCTTAGAAAACTTTCTATTCTACCCTGTTCTTGTTTCTTTATGCATAGACTATCTAAAATACTTGATATTTTTAGTATATACCAAAATATGTCCTAAAAAATTATTCTGTTTTGTTTTAAAATTTGGCTCACAAATGTGCAAATGCTGTTAATTTCTCAGGAACAAAATATATGAAAAATTTCCCAGGGAAAATATATAATTTTTAATGTAGTAACATAAAATAGCATAATTATGTTTGCTAAATGATAATTAAATATTTATCTGTCTTCTAAAATCATATGAATCCACTATACTTAGAAGAGAAATAATTTTTGTTAAACAACATTTCCATTTTTTTCTAGGGTTGCAGCTTCTCAGGATTCAAAAAAAATGAACTAACGCAATTACCCAGACATTTGGATGCTAAACAGATCTATCTTTTTGTTTTAAGAGCCAATAACTTTGAGGTATATAAACATTATTTTATTTTTATTCTATAATAAAACTTGAGAATGTGATTATGAATCAGGTCTTTATTTAAAACTAAGAGAAGTTAGATGTTAAGCAAACTTGATTCTTTAAGTGTTAAATTTGGATTTTAGTGATGTTTAACCCTGTTTACTAGAAGAAAATGTGTTGGTGTCTTAGTTATTTTTCTGTTGCTCTCACAAAATACTATAACCAAAGAAATTTATAAAAGAAAGTGTTTAATTGAGTTTATGGTTTCAGAGGTTAGAGTCCATGATGACAAGGCAAAGGTTGTGGCAGCAGGAAAAGCTGAAAGCTCACATTTTGAGCCCCAAGTAGAAGGCAGAGAGAGCTAATTGGGAATGACACCATACTTTTGAACTTCAAAACCCACTCCCAGTCACACACTCTTCCAATAAGGTCATACTTCTTAATCCTTCACAAGCAGTTCCACCAGCTGGGGACTGTGTATTCAAACCTAAGGGCCTCTGGGGGCCATCCTCGCTCAAACCACCACAGTTGGTGTGTTAGCATCTCTAGAGTCTTGCTGCAAGTGCCCATTGGCTGGGAATGGGACTCTGAAAGATGTTTTCCTTCTGTTTCCACTCTTATCAACTCAGACACTTCAGCATGCTGCTTTTACTTAGAAATAACTTATGAGAACTCTTCTACTTGTGACTTGTGTGTTTTTTTACATCCTGAAAGTGTCTTGGTATACTTTTGTGTTGTATCCTATAGTATAACCAAAGATTAAAAACTGAAAATGTAGGAATGTGACTAGTTCAGTGACCAGTGATCATCAGGGATGAGATGAACTTAAGGTAGTTATTGATAAAGCTGATCATTGTCCCCTTTTAGTTTCAATTTCTGTTTTCCATGTTTATATATACTATATATGTTCTTTGTAATGAAAAAGTGTTAAGTATAAGTTGAGGCTGTTACCAGTGAAGTAGGATTAGTACCCTGTAGAAATGAAGTACTCCCATAGAAATCATGATAAATAATTTTCTTGTTAAAAAGTTTGCACAATTTCCTTGTTGTTGACTTGCATTTAATGAACAAAAACAGTAATTATGAATTTCATCAAAAGAAATGTTGAATTATATTGAATCTAGTATTTTAAAATTTTTGTGAGAACTAGTAAGTGGGTTTTGATGACATTGAAAAGCTTCTGCATAGCAAAGGAAGCAATTAGTAGAGTCAAGAGATAGTTTATAAGGATTGTCAAAAATCTTTGCCAATTAAACATCTGAAAGGATTAATACCTAAAATCTATAGTTAGCTCTAAAAATTAAACATAAAATCTTCAAGTCATCAATCAGTAAACAAACAAATGAATCAATTATATATGTCTCAAAAGAAGAAATATACATGGTCAACACATATTTGAGAAAATGTGCAGTTTCCTTAGTCACCAGAGAAATACAAATTAAAATTACTTTGAGATTCCATTGCCCCTCAGTCAGGATGGTTATCAAATAAAGCAACTGACACCAGCAGATGCAGTCAAGCATAAGGGAAGTAAGAACTCTAATGTAACCTTGGTAAGAGTTAGGCTAGTATAGACAATTTGGAAACTAGTGTGGATATTATTCAGAAATATGAAAGTAAAACTTCCATAATATCTAGCTATTCTACTGCTGAGTATATTACCAAAGGAATGTAATCACATTACCACAGAGATATTTGCCAGGCAGGTTTATTACTCTACTATCCAAAATATCCAAAATATAGGACCAGCCTAGATAAATATTAACAGACAAATGAATAAGTAAAATGTGATAGATGCACATATAACACACATAAACACATGTGCACACCCACACACTATGGGATTTATGTAATTTCATAAAGAAATATAAAATTACATTAATTGCATGAAAATGGATGGAATTGGAGGTCATCATGTTAAGCAAATATAGCCAAATTCAGGAAAAAGACAAGTTTTTATTCATATTTGTTTCTCATATATGTGTACATGCATGCACATGTGTGTGTTTGTGTGTGTGTGTACAAAGGTGACTGAGTCAGGGAGGTATTCTAAAGAGAAGAGAATAGGTCAACAAGGTAGGATATTGAGGGAGATACAGATACAATATTACTTGTTTTCTCTCACATGCAAAATGAGAAAGAAATGGAGAAAGAAAAGAGAACAGAGATGGGAGAATATGGATAGAGGGGGTACTGTGTGTATGGGTGAATATATGCAAGGCATATATAAGAAAGTGTCATAATGAAGCCTATTATTTTGTCTATCAGCTAAGAAATTAATTTTACAAATGTGAAAAAGAGCATGAAAATGATCTACTGAATCTACTTAACTAAGTAAAAACTTATAGTTTCTAGTGTTCATGATAAGCAAATTTAACTTTAGGTGCCAATTTTGGTGAATTGTCTGTACAAGGGAAACACTGTGTTAAGAGGATTTGCTGAAAATCCATGACTAAATGGATATTTATCTTAAATAAGACCTGTCCTTAGTGCATTAACTGGCTTTTTGGAACCTAGGTCCTATGCTGAGACATTTTGCTCAGCCTTGGTGTAGGGAGGAGGGGACTGGACCTGCCTCAACTGAATCTACCAGGCTGATCTGAATCCCCAGGGGAGACCTTGGCTTGGAGGAGGTGGGGATGGGAGTGGATTGGGGGGAAAGCTGGGGGGCGGGAGGAGGGAAGACAGGGGAATCCATGGCTGATATGTAAAATTAAATTAATTATAAAATTAAAAAAAAAGAAAAAGTCTGTTTCCTACATTTTTGGTGTGCGTGATCTAATCGACATCATCCTTGCATTAGGTACTAGCCATTGGTAAATTCTTTTTTCTTTAGTTTCCCCTCCCTCCTCTCCTCCCAACTCCCCCCACCTCCTACCCAAACCTGATCCACTCCCCCTCCTCTGTTTCTCTACAGAAAACAGCAGACCTCCCATGGATGTCAGCCAGCCATGAGATATCAAGTTCTAGTGAGACTAGGCACCTCCTCTCCTATTAAGGCTGGATGAGGCAACACAGTAGGAGGAATGGGTCCCAAGAGCAGGCAACAGAGTCAGAGACAGCCCCTACCACTGTTAGGAGTTCCACAAGAAGACCAAGCTACACAACTGTCACATTGATGCAGAGGGCCTAGGTCAGTCCCATGCAGGCTCCCTGGTTGTCGGTTGTCTCTGTGAGCCCCTATGGTTGATTCTCTGAGTTTCATTGTGGTGTCCTTGACCCCACTGGCTCCTTCCTCCCCCTCTTCCACAGGATTCCCTGAGCTCCACCTAAGGTTTGGCTGTGGGTCTCTGCATCTGTTTCCATCAGTTGCTGGGTGAAGCCTCTCTGATGACAATTGGACTAGGCAGTAATTGATGAGTATAGCCGAATATCATTAGGAATCATTTCATTGATTTTTTTTTTTGCAAGTCCTGTTTGGTTCTGTCCTAGGTCTCTGGGCTGTCCTGCCTCGGGGTCCTGGCCCTCAAAGGTGGGCTCCCTTTCAGGGTGTGGGTCTCCAGCTGGGCCAGTCACTGTTTATTTGGTCACTCTCACAATTCTGTGCCTCCTTTACCCAGCACATCTTGTAGGCAGAACAAATTGTAGGTTAAAAGTTTTGTGGCAGGGTTGATGTCCCAGTCCCTCCACGGGAAGTCTTGCCTGGTTACAGGAGATGCAGTCCAGGCTTTGTATCCCCCATTGCTAGGAGTCTTAGCTAGGGTCACCCTCATAGATTCCTGGGAGTTTCTGTTGCACTAGGTTTCTAGTTCTTCCCAGAGATGCCCCCTGATTCCAGTTGTCTCTCCCAGTACTCTCTCCCTCCCTCCTCAACAAACCTCATTCCTCCTGTTCCCATCCCTGCCCCCTGTCTAGACCCCTCCCCCCATCCATCCACCTGTGATGTCTATTCTATTTCCCCTTCACAGTGATATCCATGTGTCCTCCCTTGAGCCTTGCTTGTTACTGAGCTTGTCTGGGTCTGAGGATTGTAGCACCACGGTTACGCTTTACTTCACAGCTAATACCCACTTATGAGTGAGTACATACCATGTTTGTCTTTCTGAATCTTTGTTATCTCACTCAGGATTGATTTTTTTCTAGTTCCACCCATTTACCTGCAAATTTCATGATGTCATTGTTTTTACCAGCAGAGTAATACTCCATTGTGTAAATATATTACATTTTCTTTATCCATTCTTCGGTTGAGGGATATTTAGATTGTTTCCAGTTTCTGGCTGTTATGAGTAAAGCTACTATGAACTTTTAATGACTACTTCTATTTCCTTGGGGATGTGAATCCATTTTAATTTTTTGTCTCATCTTGATTTAATTTTGGTAGGAAGTATCTATCAGGAAAATTGTCCATTTCTTTTAAATTTTCCAATTTTGTGGAGTACAGGTTTTTGAAGTATGACCTGATGGTTTTTTTTTTTATTTCCTCGATGTTTGTTGTCATAGCTCCCTTTTTGCTCCTGATTTTGTTAATTTGGATATTCTCTCTCTGCTTTTTAGATTAGTTTGGATAAGGGTTTGTCTTTTAGAGTCTGCAAGATGTCTGTCCAGGCCCTTCTGGCTTAGGTCTACCTTTACATGTTACTTGTTTGGTTGGTTTTTTTTTTCTTGCAGCTTTTAATATTCTTTCTTTGTTCTGTGTATTTGGTGTTTTATGTTGCAGGGGCACTTTCTTTTCTGATTCAATCTATTTGGTGTTCTGTTAGGATCTTGTACTTTATAGGCATGTCCTTCTTTAAGTTAGGAAAATTTTCTTCTATGACTTCGTTAAATATATTTTCTGGGTTTTTGAGCTGGGATTCTTCTTTTTCTATTATTCTTATTATTCTTAGGTTTGGTCTTTTCATGGTGTCCCAGATCTCCTGGATGTTTCATGTTAGGAATTTTTTTAGATTTGACATTTTCCTTGACTGATGAATCTATTTCTTCTATGGTATCTTCAACACCCGAGAGTCTCTTCTCCATCTCTTGTATTCTGTTGGTGATGCTTGCATCCTTAGTTCCTGTTTGTTTACTCAGATTTTTCATCATTTCCTGAATTCTCTCAGTTTGTGTTTCCTTCTTTTCAATCAATCTTCTCCAGACATTTTTTATTTTTATTAAGAAAATTTTTTATTCATTTTACATACCAAAGATTCCCCTTTTCCCTCCTCCTGCCCCCTAGCCTTCCCCTCCCAACCCATCCCCCATTTCCTCATACAAGAAGGTAAGACCTCCCATGGGGAGGTATATTTAGTAGGGGCAAGTCCAAGCCTCTCCCCCTGTCCCAAGCCTGTGCAAGGCATCCCATCATAGAATTGGGCTCCAAAAGGCCTGCTCATGCACCAGGGATGGACTCTAATCCTACTGCTAGCCCTCCCCCAATCAAATCATGCTACACAACTGTCTTGCCATGCAGAGGGTCTAGTCCAGTCCCATGCAGGCTCCAAAGCCATTGATGTAAATTTCACGAGTTCCCACTAGTTTGATTGGATTGTCTCTGTCTTCTTTGTTGCTTCTATTTCAATCCTTTGCCTGCCCCCTCACACACACACACCCAACCAGCTTTCTTTAAGGGACTTAATGATTTCCTCCAATTTTTTTGGTTGTCTTTTCCTCAATTTCTTTAAGGGAGTTTTTCATTTCTTCTTTAAGGACCTCTATTATTTTCATTAAGTTGTTTTTAAGGTCATTTTCTTGTGCTTCAGCTGCATTGGAATATTCAGGTCTTCCTGTCACAGGATAGTTGGGCTCTCATGGTGCCATGTTGCCCTTGCTGGTGTTTATTGTATTCTTACACTGGCATTTAGGCATCAGGGTTTCAAGTCATTAGGTCTGAGTTCTGATTTCTGAGTTTGTCTGTTGGATGGGTGTTTTGTTCCTTGGTTTTTGGTTCCTCTTTTGTTTTCTAATCTTTGTGACCTGGATTTCTGATGGCTGGTGTGACCTCTGATCTAGTAGGGAGGCTCTGTCTATATTGGGAGCTGGCCTTCTGGTGGTTAGCTTCACCTTTAGTACCGCAGTGTCTCTCTGTTCTTCTCTCATGTGTAGTTTTTGAGCAAATAAAATGTGGCCAGTATGATTGATAACTTAAAATTTTTATTCAATTTCTTTTAATAGATTTGCCTACAGATATAAAAACTAATATATAAGTGTTAAAAAATTGTTATGTTTGGAATAAGATACAAGTATATATTTTATGAATCTATTTTATGTAAACATGTATTTATGAATCTAGAAATACTATTATAGTGTTTCTGATGAAAATTTAATGTTCAAATCAAGATATGCTATAAGTATAAAATACATTCCATCATTTTCAAATCCTTAGCACTAAAGATGCAAAATATTTAATTAATATTTTATCAATTACATGTTGATAGGAAAATATTTTAATTATATTTGGTTAAATAAGGTATGTCATCAAGCTTAATTTCACTCTTCGCTTTTAATGTAACTACTAGGACAGTTAATATCATTCATGTGTATTGCTAAATATCTGTCAGTCAGTTCTGTAACCATTAGTTATACTCTGTATAAAGCATATTTACATAAATATATTTAGTAACATGTTTTAATTTGTTATCCTTAGGAAAAGGTGCTTAAAGTCTTGAAAATCCACATTCTGTCAGACTGCTCCATTGCTCTCCTGCATGACTCTTTTTGGTGGTGGTTTCTCCATAAATTCAAGGTAAATGGCATTTAAAAATTATGCAAAAACATTTATTTGTGGCATGTTTTTCAGTAGAAGTAATATTAATAAAAAAGGTTTTTACACAGATGAATTTTTGAGCATTCCATAGACTAAAAATCCCATTTAAACTTTCTTCTTTTAGCGGAGTTAAAATTCCAATAAGGATTTCAACAAACTGGATTCTTCATCAGTCAGAAAAGATAAGGGAGAGCCAATACTCTAGTAAATAACAGAGTTGTATCTTTGCATGTTATTATATGTTGGTAAACAGAACAGAAAGTCTACTACAAATCAGTAACACTGAGAATTTAGAAGAGAACCTGATAGTCAGATAGAGAGCCTTTAGTTAATTCAGAAAGGTGAGAATTTGAATCTTGGAAAAAAATAATAAGAAAGTGAAATTGGTAGTACTAGAAGCACTGTTTGATCAGAAGAATTTCAGTAAGAATAAATACCCCTAAAGTTGCTTAAAAGCTTGACTCTCCAAAATGATGCAAACAATTAGAAGGTGGCCCACACTGTGACTCCCCTAACCACTGCCATCTGAGACAGTGCACACGACAGTACAAGCCCTTCACTGGTAGTGCTACCCCACTTCTAGGACCAAAGTTCACATCAGAGGACTGTGCACAGTACCCTGTTCACCCTCCACAGGCTGCACTGCCCATGCCCATCTAACCCTGTTCTTTGACCCCAAGCCACACCTATCTAAGTACTGTGTACACAGCATGTGTTCCACAAGAAGTCCCTAGCTGATCTGGACCACTTCTGATATCCTAATTCTATATCAACATTGACTTGGGCCACTGATACCCCAATTCCATATCAACATTGTGTCCCTAAGACTGAACCTCAAGCACCACCCAGCAATTTCAAAGATCACTTAAATTTAGGTGACAACAAACAGAAATCCACATGCCCACTCAGCAAAGGTGGATCAGACATTCAAACCATATAGACAATAACACTACTCTGTATATGCAGTCCCAAAACAAACACTATGAAAAACCAAAACAATATGTCTCTTCAAAAAATTAGTACCCTTACAGTAATGTTCCCTGAGGAAAACAACTTAGATGACACACGAGACAATGAACTCAAAATAGCAATTTTAGATACATTCAAGGAACTCGAGGAGCATATGAATAAATACAGAATGATGGTCTAGAAAACGAGCAAAGAGTTGAATAAAATAATTAAGACAAAGCAGGATATGAAAATAGAATGAAACAAAGATACAGAAAGCCAAAAGCAAAATGAAACTTGAAATGAAAAATTCATTAAATTTAGTAAGCTCAGAGAAACACCTCACCAATAGTATAAATCAAGTGGAAGAGAGGATATCAGGACTTGAAGACAAGGGAGAGGAATTAGATCACTCAATCAAATAAAATGATGAATCTTTCAAAAAGTCCGTGAATGGGGCATTCCAGTACTCTGAAACTTAAAAGGAGTAAGATTATGGACCACAGGTATAGAAGAAGGCAAAGAAATCCAGATCAAAGGCACAGCAAGTATCTCCAACAAAATCACAGAATAAAATCAGCCCATTCCACCAGGTGGAAATCATGCCTGATACCATTAATTAGGCCAAGTACCCATGCCTGTGCATGTCATAGACCCTAAGAGAGAACATAATATGATGATTCTGCTAATTAGACACAGGATTAAACTGCTTGCTTATACATATCTTTATGCCCATAAATTAGTATAGTTTTCAACTTTCATCAGAGAAGCTGCTTTTTTGCATTGGTTAACTCTGGTAGTTTGAATTAGAATGGCCCCATAGGCTCATATGCTTAACTATTGGTCCCCAGTTGGTTAAACTGCTTGGGAAGGACTAGGAGGTGTGACCTTGTTGGAGGAGGTGTGACACTGGGATGTATTTTGAGATTTCAGAAGACTGGTGCCATTCCCAGTGTTTGTCTCTTCCTCATGGTTGTGTCTCAAAATGTGAGCTCTCAGCTACTGCCTGCTGCCGTGCTCACTACCATGATGACCATGGACTCTAACCCCCTGAACAGTAAGCCCCAAATAAACAGTTTCTTATATAAGTTGTCTGATCATGGTGTCTTATCACAGCAATAGAAAAGTACCCATGACAGTGGTGATTAATTCAGAGACTGACAATTGGTCATGTGCAGAGAATAAGAGACTTTGGAATGATGAGCGCTAAATGGGACATCTGTAGTATACACCTTCTACCAAGGCTCAATGATATCCCATAAGAGGCTGTGAAAAGATTGCTAGAGCCAAAGGCAGTGGATGACTGCCATGAAAGAGCATTTTCCAGACATTGCCGGTCCATTGCATATATGAACTCATGGAGGTGTAACTGCACACGCAAAATCCAGCATGAATGGGCCAGGGGCTACTGACAATTGGCAGATAGTGGATGAGAGAGAGAGTGTGGGTTTTCTTCATGGGTGTGGACCTTTTAGAGGCCACCCATGGTCCAGTGAATGGCCAGATACACGGGCAGGATCTCACACCTCAGTGGGTTTAAAAGAGTACATGAAGTTATGAGGGTAAAGTAGTGGTGTGGGCAATGAGGAAGAGTTGAAGGGAAGAAAAGGAGGGGCAGTTTGGGTCAAAACACATTATATGAATATAAGAAATCTCAAACAGTAAGTTTTCAAAAACATTTTTGAAGCCAGAAATGCATCATTCTTACTCAACAACAACAAAAAAAGTTGTATAACCTTTAAAGTTTTTTTTTAACCAATCATACAAAATAGATTTCAGAGAAGGTAATGTTACGAAGAACAAAGAATAACAGTCTAATGATGAAATGGTTGGTTGATCAGTGAGACATAAGAATCCTAAATTTTTATTCAACAATAAAACTCTTCAAAACACATTTAATAGAAAACTCATTAATACTTCAAGAAGACATAGACATTTACATCAGTATAGTTCAGGATTTTAATGCCTCACTGCTAATATTTTGTAGCATATGTGGAAAATGAGAAGTGATACGAAAGACTTGAACAACACTGGCAAAATATTGATCTGGCTTTTATGAAGTATCTCTCCTGCTTCATACATTTTGTGTTGATAGGGTTGAGTGCCACAAAATAGACAATTTGTAATGAGCAGAAATGTATTGGCTCAGTTAGGGAAGTTAGGCAGTATTAGCCTAGGGTCCATTGTGACTGCTGCACAAGATCCACACCAGATCAAGCTAGCTAAAATCCTGTGTGGATGGGCGAGGACTTACAGTGTCCCACCTTAACTGAAGAAGTATTGGCAACTGAAGGATGGTGGCGTTGGGAGAGTACCCATTACCCATGGTCCAGGGGGCACCCGTGGGAGAAAGTGAAATGACAAAAAAGAGACAGAAGAATGGAGAGAAAAGAAGTACAAGAGAGGAGGTGTGCCTGCTCTCACGTCAGTGTCTCATTCATGAAGGCTGGGCCCTGATCCCCTGATGCCTCTGTGTTGTTCTACCCCATCCACAGCTGATTGCTTTTCTCAACGACGCATTTACCAAGATAAACTGTTCTGAACTAGGGAAATATTCTGATAAAATTAGAGTAATTGAAGCCACAGAAAACACATTTTCACATAAAAAGATGAGATCTATGGAAACATCTCCAAAAAATCAGAAAGTAAATAATATACTTCTCAATAGCAATAGGTGAAATCAGAATTGAGCAGAGAATTGAAAATTGTTTGAACCAAGTGAAAATGAGAACATGAAGTAAGACTTTTGGGATGTAAACAAGGCAATATTTAAAGAAAAAAACTATAGCATGAAAAGAAAACAGCAGTGATCAGAGTGAAAGCCAGTACAAGTAAAAGAAAAAAAATGGAGAAAATTCAATGAAGCCAGATATTTCTTTGAAAAAAATCTTCAAACAAGTTAACATGAGGAACTTGAAGCCTATCTTGTTCTCAGTGTAAATATGGCAGAGACAGCACCTAAAGGCAGGTCATCACCTTAACAGACTCATCCCCAGTGGCTTAGCACAGAGGCATGCCTCCTGAGCGCAGTTCTGCATAGTGCAACCTATCAGAGAGCCTCAGCTCATGCTGAAACTATTTCAAGACACACAATGGAACAAAAGACTGGGTTGTTGGGCAGAAAAAGTTTGAGCTTAACAAAATAATGTCAAATTATTTTCCAAGTGGGTATGTAATTTGTCACCCCCATTGCTAATATGTGATTTTCTGTTATTCTTGAGCTACTAGTGGGTGAACAAAATAAAACAGAAATTAGAAAACAGTGTGAGAAAAAAAGAAACCAAAATATATCAGAACTTATGAAAACCATAAACAAAAGCAGGGAAACCACTACCATTTTTACAGAAATAGATAATTGCATTATTAGCTTTGTATCTCTGTAACCAAACTATCTGATGTGCATACCTTGAAACAAAGAGTTCATTTTTCTCATTTTCAGAAGATTGAGTCCATTATACTGAGGAAGGTGTGACAGATCAGTTCTCATCCTGATGGAGAAGCATCGAGAGAGATGCTGAAGCTCAGTGGCTTCCTCCTTTGTCCCCTTTGTCCCCTCTGGACCCCAGCACATAGGGTGATGCTTCCCACATTTACAATGGTTTTTCCTCTCAGTTAATCCACTCTAGAAACACTGCACAAAGGTAGAGGTGTGTCCAGCTGACCTCCTGTGTGCTCATATCAAGCTGACAATGAAGACTAAGCATCATGGTACTGTAGAAGTGTATGTCAGCAGGCTGAATGACCTGAACAGCACATAAAAAACCTCCTGAAGTCATGCAATCTGACAAGACTGATCCACAAAGAAAAAGATGATTAAGATCGCACACCTGAGGCAGAGGCAGGCAGATCTCTGTGAGTTCAAGGCCAGCCTGGTCTACAGAGTGAGATCCAGGACAGGTACCAAAACTACATGGAGAAACCCTGTCTCGAAAAACCAAAAAGAAAAAATAATAGATTACAATTACTATAATTGAAACATCCCAACAACAACAAGCACTGATCCAGATAACCAGTTTCACTGGTAAATTCCACCAATATTTTAAAAAGAATAAGCACCAACATTACACCTCTTCTAAAATATTCAAGAGGCAAGAGCAAAGTCTAAATTGAGAAAGTGTTACTATCATGCCAAATCTAGGTAAAAACATTATAAAAACAAAATACTATAGACTAATATCTCTTACAATAAATGTGAGTGCAGAAATCATAAAAAATTTACTATCAAGCCAAGTTCAGCAGCGTATTACTGGAATCATATGCCACAGCTCATAGCATTAGCACTGGAAGACAAAGATAATTTAGCATCAGTTGAATAGCTTGATCTGATACGGACGGTGATTGACAAGATACCTAACAGAAGCTTCAGTTTCTAACAACCATGCATAAAACACATACAAAAATGAAACAGCCATTGGCCACATAATCATCTGTGAAGATATTAGATTGAACCATATTAACCAAAGACATATCCTGGAACTTTATGTCTGATGTAAATTTCTGTTCTTTGCTTCCTAGATGTTGAGTGTAGATTGTATAGTTAAAATATGGTAACTTCCTGAATGAATTATGTATATGTATTCTCCTTTAATTTTTAAATAACTATATCTCAAAAACCAAGCCGGTTTCATGAGTCATCAAGAAGCACTGTCATCATTACCAGTATTTTTATTGCTGTGACTTCCTTTTATAAAGTTATTTGAAAGGTATGAGAAATTAATAGGAGTGGAATCTCCTCTGGTTCTTGATTACTTGAATGAGTCTCTTGGGTTTCCTAAGCACTAATGAGTCACTGAACTAGAAGGCTTTAAGGCAGATGACCTGGAAATTCATTTTAGGTTTAAGATCCTATATATCTGTAAATCCTTGTTTATTTTGTTTTCTATTACCACTAAATTGACAATTTGCATTTTACATTTGTGTTTTTACAGCTTGTGTTGTGAGTTTGAACTTTAATTCATCTTCCTTGTACAATGATTTAGACTCTGATTATTCTCGTTACTTAATGGAGCAGGAAGCTAGGCTGCTACATTGGGATTTTACTGTAATGTTCTTGTTACTAAGTCACTTTAATTTTGCTTTGGTTACTGCTGATAAGAAAAGAGTGTACATTGTTATGGAAAGTACCAGAGTCATTGATTATCTCCAGGATGATAACCACTGAACAAGAACCTTCATTTGTTCCACAGATGTTGACATGCTTTTGGTGTTCTAGACACTGTGCCAAGTGTTTGAAATAAAAAATTATGTAAAACGTGGTCCTAGTATAATTTTATATATTTAGTATAATTTATATATATATATATATATTTCCTAGTATAATTTTACTACTCTTCTAAGATACGACAGATATATATGACTGTCATCTAGGAAAGCAGGATATAGTCCTGTCCAATGTAGTGCAGCTAATAAGTGACAGAGCTACCATTCAAACTCAACTGTGATACCAAAACAAATGGCCCTTCCATTATACTGGTCAGACTACCCTTTAAGAATAGACTATGCTCTTACATAACGTGTGTGTGTGTGTGTGTGTGTGTGTGTGTGTGTGTGTAATATTACATGTAGTAATATTGTACACAGAACTTCCTAATATAAATTGTAATGTTGACCCTAATTGCATGCATGCATCTCCTTAAAGCCTGACAGATATGATCAAGATTGCCTATTTGACAGAATTTCAGAAAGTTATGTAACACTTTTCCTGAGAATACCTCATAGGAAAATGGATGCATTCTTTCAGGTACGTGTAAAAACTTAACAGTTACAATAATTATCTTCATAGTATATGGAAATATATTTTGTTTAACTATAAATGCATATTTTTGATTACCTTTCAACAAAGAATTATCAGGCGTAAATAACGGAAATATTTTTAAAGCTATGTTTTACCACTATGACTACTAACCAGAATATTGTGTTCTCTAGACTCATAGTCTTAAAATCACTGTAGTTCTATAGTTATGTTGGTTAGAAACTGGTGACTTCTATGTATATTCTTGGTCTTGTCCTGTTTCCCTATAAAAAAAATATCATTTTTCTTTGACTCTATAAGAAGTCTTTTAAGCCATTTCAGCAAAACTGACTAGTTTATTATATTTACTGAATAAGCTATGAACTAAATATTTATTTTCATTTTTTTGTTATATTAATAAGTAAGGTTAATCAAAATAATGTTGTTTTGGTAAAATGAGAAGATGTAGGGAATTCTTTGAATGTTTTAAATATTAATACTTAGTATTTCCAAATACAAGCAGTATTGAAGTATCTTATTGCTTTAGCAATCTGTAAATCAAAAATGTAAAACATTTTGGAATTTATAAATGTTTTCACATTGTTGGAAGGAACATAAAATATCCTTAATGAAAGTATAAATATTCTAAATCTGAGAATTTGTCAAATATTTACATTCAATCTTGGCGTATCTTATACTTCCATAAAGTGTGGCAGGGGAAACTGTAGTGGGCTTGGAATTGCATTTGAAAGACTCGTCTGCCATGGGCAGCACCATCCCATTAGCTGCTCTCCTGGAGTCCATCAAATGTGCAGAGCAAGCTGAGCACCAGCGTTCACCCTTCTGCTTCCTGACTGTGGGGGCCCTGTGACCTGTTCTCTCAAGCTCCTGCTGCCCTAACTTTCCTGCTGTAATAGACTGCACCCTGGAACTGTGAACTGGAATGAGCTTATTCTCCTTTAAATTGCTTTTGTCAAAGTATTTTATCACAGAAACAGGAAAACAAAACTAAAACCATCTTTTTGTAATCACCAAGAGGGGGCATAATTACACACACACACACACACACACACACACACACACACACACACAAACACACATGAACTTGAGAAGTTCCTCTTACTCAACCTGTTTAACATTTTAATTTTTACTACTAATAAAACTCATGTGCCACTGATAATATGTGACCATTTGGGTAGTGAAGGTATTCGTAGCTCACTGAATAAAATTAGATACACCAATATGTTACAGAATTCTACCCCTCACATCTCCCCCTTCCTATCACCACCACCCCAATCAAAGGTGCCCTAAAAGGACTGTGTACCAGCAAATTTGAGCACTATTTGATTAAAATGACCCTGTTAGTTTCCTATGAGTATTACAAATTAAAATAAACTTAGTTGTTTAAAGCAATAGGAATTCATTTTCTTAGTTATAGAGGCCAGCAATCCAAGTTGAGTAGAATATAAGTCTAAAATGAAAGTATCGACGATGCTGATTCACCCCAGGGAAATTTCCTCCTCTGTCCCTTGTTTCTGGTGTCAGGACCTCTCAACTTTCTTTGACCTCTGCTGCCATCGCTGCTGTCTGCTTCTGTTGTCACACTGCCTTCTCCTCTTCTGAAGTCAGTCTGCTCAGCTTCCTGCATAATGCTATGTGGAATTACAGTTAGAATCTGCAGGATAATAACCTAGAGGACCCTAATCTGCCCCATGATTTCAGCTTCCCCCATCCTAACTGACATTTCAGGCCCAGGGATTAGAACATGTGCAGTTTGGGTTCATTAGTTGGTGTCTACAATGATCATGACGGACTTCTCTAATCTAAAACTTTAATCAAATGGAGTCTTAGTTTATGATTATCAGTACTTACCTGAATTCAGAGTACCACAATAATGATATCATGTGTCTTTAATATAAAAAATATGGTCTCTCTCAATGTTTATTCCTCAAGAAAAATATAGTAGTTGGAGTATCTGAAAGCTAGGCTGTCAAGTAGGTGCATGGTTTGAGACGTGCTGGCCAATGGAGCATCTGAAATAGGATGTAGAGGGAACAGTGCTGGTTGACAAGTTGTAGAAACAGTGGTATTCTCTTGGGATGGACCGGCTGGGGACCTGAACTGCAGGGGAAAGACACAGTAGCTCATAGTGCTCCATGCTAGCTAGGTCAGGTCAAATCACCCTTAAGACTTTCACTCCAGGGAAGAAGGAGTTGGTTGCTGTTAGGAACTTTTCAACTTTAGGGGTTCCTAAGCCTCTATTATATTCTTGCATCTTTTAAAAAATGTATTTGTTCTTACTGCCTCATTTCTACATTTGTGTGTAAGAGTGTGGATACATATGGCACATGTAGAAGAGAGAGGATATCTTTCAGAAATCAGTTCTCCCCTCCTCCAGGAGTTCCGAGGATCAAATTGAGGTTGTCAGACTTTTACCCACTGACATCTCTCACTGGTCAGATATTATCACATATTGTACAGACACTTAGAACAGACTTCACTCTGGGTAAAATGGGCTTCCAAGCAAAGCACAGCCCTTCCCCGGAAATGCCTCTCTAGAGAAGGCACAAGGGAGGGATAATGGGGAGAGGAAAGCTAGAGATCCTGTCTGTGCCTGCTGGGATCAGGTGGGACTGCTGGGCTCAGCATAACCTGCTCCTTTTCTGAAGAGTGTATTCTGGGTCCTAGTTTGCTCCAGTTAAACTCTTGACTAGTTTATTACCATGTCGCTTCTGAATCCTTCCAGAGCACAAGAACCAGAGTGCTGCTGGGGTTGAGACCAGAGGAAAATGGAAACCTTCCTATGACGATGGGATATTGGTAGTGCTGTAATTTTGATGCTATCTGATTGTAGTTTTAATATATAATACTGATTATAACATAAACTTACATGAACAAGTAACAAATTTCTTAAAATATGCTTTTCATTGTGATAACCATCTATATCATTTTCTAGAAGATAACTATAGTGAGATTAAATGAAATAAATAGCTAATCAAGCCAATTATCCATGGCTCGAATGGTCATAGACCTTGTACCTACTACTGCCGTCTTCCTGAATCAATATAGTTTCTAACTGTATTCTAAATATACCTTATTCCCACAGATAATGTAGCTCTCACTGCTCATCAAATTAGTTTCTTTCTGCAATAAGCAGAGACCATTACAGAGATATAAAACTGATCAAAAACAAAGAACAAGTGACCATGTAGTATCTACCCCTAACTGGTACATCTACAATGCAGCTCCTATACCTGAGGCTCAGGGAAAGTTTATAAAAGCCAGAGAACCAAGGTACCTTCTGTGAGACAGTGTGCTCTGACATGACAGGGAAGGGGAATGATATGGTTTCCTAAACCTGACCTGCCTATTAAGAATACAAGTAGACATACCAGTGAGGACAGGGAAAATTTTACAAGGCTAAAGAGCTACAAGCAATCAATGGCTGCTGAGATATGGAGAACCAGTCTTCTGCAAGGATGAGGCCCCTGATAGGTTATACAATCCTGAGTGGTTGGTCCTGAATGCATGTGTATATGAGCAGCACTGAACTGACTCAGTAGGTGATGTATATGTAAACCTGTGTATTGGAGCAGCACTGAACTGACTCAATAGGTGATATATATGTAAACCTGTGTATTGGAGCAGCACTGAACTGACTCAGTAGGTGATGTATATGTAAACCTGTGTATAGGAACAGCACTGAACTGACTAAATAGGTGATATATATGTCACATGTGTATTGGAGCAGCACTGAACTGACTCAATAGGTGATATATATGTTACATGTGTATAGGAGCAGCACTGAGCTGACTCAGTAGGTGATATATATGTCATGTGTATAGGAGCAGCACTGAACTGACTCAGTAGGTGATATATATGTTTAAGAGGGAGTGGGAGGGGACTCAGGAGGAGTTGGAGGAGAAGAAGCAGGCATGGAAATTATGCAAATACAATACTCTGGTGAAATTCTAGAAAAAAATGTTGAAATTTACTTTTAAAAAAGAAATAACTAGTCAAACTCTGTTTTATTAACCTTATCCTTTATTCAGGAATGTTTGCAAAGTACTACCAGGTAGACTCATTTTTTAAGCTGTTTTTTTTTTTTTTTTGTTTCTGTTTTTGTGGCTTGTGGCCCTCAATTAGAATTACCAAAAAAGCAATATAATAGCTAAAGGAAAGCTATAAAATAGGGGACACATATTTTACAAACTAACCATTTCCTTGCTGTTATTATTATTTATTATATATAAAGCGTAAAAGTCACCTACCATGGCTCCCTTTGGGCAGGTGTATCCTGATTGTTTGGCCCAAGCTATCTATGCAGCATTCCAGGAATCATTTCCAGAATCCAGTGACCTCTTCAATAATGAGTTTAAAGAAGATCTAGGAAATACTATTTTTCTTTGGTTGTCAGGTATGACTATGACATTTAAGTATTTATTATTTGGTTCTAACTATGTTTTAGATTGAAGTATTTTCTCCAATCGAAACATTGATCTCTTAAAATCATGTCAAACCAATGTCTGTTTTAAATTGATCATTACTTTACTCTGAAATTTTCATTATCAAAATTAATTATTTATTAACATTATAATAAAGCCAGATCATTTTTTGTTTTGTTTCAGATAGAGTCTCTCTACATAGCCCTGGCAGTCCAGGAGCTCACTATGTAGACCAGGCTGGCCTATAACTCACAGAGATCCACCTGCCTCTGCCTTCTGAGTGCTGGGATCAAAGGTGTGTACCACCAAGCCTGGCAAGCCAAATCATTTTTAAGTGGTAGAATTATTAAAGAAAACAGAATTTCTTCAAAAGTTTGTGTGTGTTGTTTGCAGTATAGATTGTGTGCCAAGGTAAATACTTTAAGCTGCTGTGAAGAGCATAAGTTTTTCCTACATATCCATTATTGACAAAATTGTGTCTACATACAAATTTGGATGTTGAGTTCCTAACCCTATAACATCTTTTAATGTGACTGTATTTGAAAATAGATCCTTTAAAGAAGAACTTAAGGTTTAACATGATTGGTCATGTAGGTGATCCCTAAGCCAATAGGATGAGTGCTCTCATGAGAAGATGGAGAAAGGAATGATGTGAACAAGACTGTAGGGAAGGAAATAATGTTGCCATCTAACTTTCTGCATAGGAAAACAAAAACAAAGTTTCCAAGCCAGGGATAAATAATTCACAAGCATTTTCTTTTTTAATGTAACTCAGTTTTATCACAGCAGTTCAGTTGTATGGATGAAAATATTCAATGAAATGGTTACTGAAGACATCTCACTCTTGAGAAGCGCTTCTATATCCATGAGTCTCAGAGGTCCACTCACCAATGATCCACCCAGTGAAGCATCAAGAGTGAAACCCTGAGTCAAATACAAGGAGATCCCAGCACACTACAGGGACTGCTCCAAAGAAGTCTTGTGTGCTAAGAAAGGAGTGATATATTTCAAGTGATGAAAAAAATCAGTCAGATGACTTTACCTAGCAGAGCGGTCATGTGACAGCGGAGGAGAAATAGCCTTTTACAGACAAGCAATACTGAGGGACTTTGTCACCACCGTTAGAGCTGGCTTACAATCAGTGCTTTAAGGTGGTCCTCCACCTGCAGAAATGAAAGCAGGGTGTGTTCATCACAAGGACCGACCACTTGACAGTGAACAACTTAGGGAAATAAGGATTTATTTTAGCACATGGTTTCACGGTGAAGAAGACATGGTGGCTGAGGCTCTGGCCTGGGTGAAGAAGCTTGTGGCTAGTCATCATAGTCATCAGAGTGAGGACACAGAAAACTGGGAAAGATGGGCCCGAACCAAGCGGAGGCGGTGACCTGTAAGTTCATCCAGAGTCACTTACTTCCACCAGCCAGGCCTCCTCTCTTCAAGGTTCTACAGCCTCCTTAGAGAGAACTACCAGCTGGGGACCAAGTGTTCAGAGACATCAGCCTGAGAAGATATTGTGTATTCGTGCCATAGAATTCTTCCGCTGTCCCCCGTAGGATCATGACTATCTCCTAACACAATAATGCACTCAGTTCAAACACAAAGGTTGCCCTAGTCATACACTTCCAGAATTCTTCAAAGTCCACAGTTCAGAATCTCTTCTAAGACTGTAAGCACTTATAAAATACAACAAGTTTATCTATGTCCAGCATATAATGGCACAAACATCCCATTCCACAAGGGAAGATTGGTGACGTAGTGAGGAATGATCATGCCAAAGCAATAGTAAAGGGAGCCAGGGAAAATCACCAAATCCTGCACTTGTGTATCTGGCACCATCCGTCCTCCAGTGACCTTAGGCAGCCCCACTCCTCCAACTACGTTATCTGTGGTGCACGTGACCCCTCTTTGGGGTTGGCTCCACTCCATGCTTGCAGCTTTCCTAAGCCAACACCTAACATTTCTAACCCTGGTATCTCTGCCACAGCTTAGGCTTCACCTTCACAAGTTCATGTGATTGTCTCTTGGGATCTCCTTGCAAGGGAATCCAACCCTGCCACACATTACCTGACCTCGTTGCTTTCTGGGACTGGGCACAGGTTGCCATGACCCCTCACTATTGTGTCTTGCATCCTAAAGAATCAGTCCCATGTGAACGCTCACTCCAAGCACTACTGACAGTCAGGATGGAGGCTGGCTCCTTTCTGCCATAGCCTCTGTGGTCTCTTCTTTTGTGGCTGGAAAAACACGTTCCTAGTTGGTTATTTTTGTGCAGAAAATAACTGTGGTGGCATTCTCTCAAATGACTTTCATTTTTGCAAGCTAGAACCTTAAATGGATGGAGTCTTGGCTGCCCGTTAGGGCACTTCTCCTCTTGTCCCAATGCAAACTGCAACTTTCCTCTTCTCGTTTCATGTGGAATAGAACCAGTGATCTAGAAACAAATGGTGATAGTGAGTCCTTTTCTGTCAATGATTACTCTGAATGTAAGTTGATTGCATCCTTCAATCAAAATACATGAAGTAGATTACAAAAAAAAGGGAAGGATAAAACGAGAGAATAATAAGGCTCTAGCCTATGCTACCTATGAGATACCCACTTTAGCTTTTATGGACAGATTGCTGCAAGCAGAGGAATTGAAGATCTTCTGTGTGAGTGGCAAGCAAAAGGGAGCAGGGTTAACTACACTTATATCACATAAAGCAGAAGACAAATAATGTCATTATTAATAAGAGGTTTATCAACAGAATATGGTAACCAGACTCAAAACACCTACATACACAAAGCAAATATTGACTGATATGAAAAGACAGATAAGTAGATGGTGTCAATACCTCACTTACAACACTGGATATCACATCCAGACAAAAGATTACCAAGGGAATGTTAGGCTTGCATTATACCTTAGATCACATGGACCTAAATTACCACCATATTCATGCGTTCTACTGGGCCTGCTCACAAAAGCTCATCACAGCTGGGCCTAGTGACTGTTTACCCTCCCTCCCAAAAGATAGGGATGGCTAGGGTCATGGAACACTTAGCCGAGTCCCCAGCCACCCTTCCTAATCAGTTGTATGCAATTCTGCCCTAATTGCATGTGGCCTTTGGGACTTGGGGGAGTAGCTAGAAGATAAAGGTAGAAAATGGTGAGGGGACTGGGCGGTGGTGGCGCATGCCTTTAATCCCAGCACTCGGGAGGCAGAGGCAGGCAGATCTCTGTGATTTGAGACCAGCCTGGGCTACAGAATGAGTTCCAGGAAAGGTGCAAAGCTACACAGAGAAACCTTGTCTTGAAAAACCAAAGAGAGAGAGAGAGGAGAGAGAGAGAGAGAGAGAGAGAGAGAGAGAGAGAGAGGGAGGGAGGGAGGGAGGGAGGGAGGGAGGGAGGGAGGGAGGGAGGAAGGAAGGAAGGAAGGAAGGAAGGAAGGAAGGAAGGAAGGAAGGAAGGAAGGAAGAAAATGGTAAGGGCAGGGGAGCTCCGTCTATCTAGCCATGGAGAAGCCAGCATTGTTGCTAGGTACAAAACTTGAGTGTGGCTGCTTTAAGGTCACCCACGCTCCTGCCTGTAACCCCTTACCATTGCTCTGTAAGTGAGCCTAATGCACTCTTGGGTCCCCCGAGTGAACTTTGGTAGGATCCTAACTTGGTTTGTTGATGGGACCTTTAGAAGGCCCTTAGAAATGGTGTATGTATCACCCAAGAAGGGAATCTTAGCAACAAAAGCATAGGCAGAAAATGTTGTACCTTAGATTGGGACATAGTTTCTTAGATATGAAACAAATCATAATTCATAAAAGAAAATCTTGGTAAACTGGATTTCATCAAATTAAAAATTTCTCTACCCAGAAAGTAGCTTTAAGAGAATAAAAAAAAGCAAGCAACAGCCTGAAAGAAATATTAACAAAATTCAGGGGGAAAAACTAACAAAAGAAAACAAATAACCTCCTACTGAAAAATTATCAAGCCTGGTGTGGCACATGCCTACAATCCCAGCACGTGACTGTTGTGTATACAAGGATCCAAGTTCAAAATCAAGGTCAATAAATAAAAATAGAGGGAATATTTGAACAAAATGCATGATCAAATAATTTACATGAATACAAAGAAACAAGATCAAGCTGTAATAATTAGCACAGCTGTAATAATTCAGGAAGAAATAGACAGTTCTAGTGATTGAGAGGAGAAGCAAGCAAGCAAAAACCCAAACTGAGGAAAGGTAGAACAACATGGTTAACAGTGTGAAGTAATGACTCTACAGAACACTGAAAATGAAAAATACAAGTTACTTACAAATACAGAAAGCATTTCTAAAATCTCTCCATATAGTAAGCACCAAATCAAATGTTCCCACTCACAAGAGACATTGTAAATTAAACAGAGCATGTTGAGTCATTGGATGGAAGGCAATAAATTAGACATATGACCAAACAAAAATGTCTTTATGCATGTGGAGAATAAGAAATATGGGCCCAACTTCACAATAGCTGAAGTAGAACATCAATCATGAGGAGCCCCATTGGATGAATGGAAATACAAAAATGTCATGAATTTATATAAAAGAAACTACTACTCAGCTATTTTAAAAAATGAAACCTTGCCATTCACGGCAGCATGGATGGAACTGGAGGTCAATAGGTGATTGAAACAAGCCAGATACAGAACAACAAATACCATATGTTCTCACTCATTCAGAGAAACCAGAACCATCTCTTTAGGACAACACAATAGAACAGTGGTCGCAAAAGTCTGGCAGGGGCAGAAAAAGACTGAATTAGGAGCACCAAAACCAGAGTAGAGAAGTCGTATCTGCTTCTTCCTCAGAACAGCAGAAGAACTATTGGTTAAAACAACATATGGTCTATTTCAAAATGACTAGAAAAAATACGAAATTCTCAACATATAAAATTATCAATTGTTGAATAGATGGAAATATTTTAATCTGATTTATTATATATTGTATACATGTATTGAATTATGATGATGTACCCCATAAATATGTACAAATGCAAAAAGAAAAGAAATATGTTCTTAAATAATCTAATGTTAATGGAAGAAATCTTAAAGGAAATTAGAAAATAACTGATCATGCTTAAAAAAAACTAAATATCAAAAAATATGGTAGAGCATGTATGGTAGTTCTTCCAGGGTAATTTCTGGCTTTTGATGTATATTTTTTTTTAAAAAAGAAGGAGGAGGAGGAGAAGAAAGAAAGAAAGAAAGAAAGAAAGAAAGAAAGAA